ACCAGAGCTAGCTACTTCAATTTGATATTCATCTCAACATTCTTTGTCTCATCAGGTTGATTAAACTATCAAAGATTCAAAGTTTATTCAGTTTATTCAGAACCTGAACAACTCTTTTCTCTTGTCCGAACCCAGAATTTTCACCAATAATTCTTTTGCATAGATGCAAAGACAATGACACATACATGCAAACATAGAAATCGTTTTCTGAAGCAGAAAGAGAGCAAAACCCAGATTATGTTAATCTAATAAACATGCAATAGTTCAGCAGGATGATGCTTTGCTTGTATCAAGCCAATAGAAAGATGTCCTGAATACGGATCATTGGACAGAAAGATATTCCTCCAACATAGAATGTTAGCCGCGTACAAAGCAAGGGCAGCATTTCTTTTGATTTTTTTTAATTATTAAATTAGTTCTTGTACTTTGTACAAATTATGATTTTAGTTTTTTATAATAATTTATGTAAATTAAGTATTTATATTTTTCAAATTTATTAATTTCAATCCAAACCCTAACATCGATAAATTTTTCACCGACTTGTATTGATTGGACTAATAACAAATACGAGGAAAGTGGGAACACATCCCTTACAATGTATCCAATTTAATTACATTTCAGTGTTTGTTGATTCCGTGAAAAATATTAACATGACAGTTGTTGACATGGTAAAAAATTATTGACGTGACTGTTTTTGTAATTTGCACCGAATGAATGCTAGTTTTTTTTATAGTAATTAAGAATTACAATGTGATAAACGTCAATATATAATTAACTTCACATTAACAAAAAGTGACATGTTATCTCAATTAATATTATGTCAGTTTGGTTAAAATATCATATCGATATGTTAAACGGTAAGATTTGAACCGAAATCAATATATTGAAAAAAAACAAAGACTCGATTTACACTAATTATTATTCAAGAATTAAATCCATATTTTTTAAGAAATAGAGGGATTAATTACAAAATTTAAACTTTTTGTTTGGTACATAAAATAAAGGGGCAAATAGGTTACTACATGAGTACACACTTTGGAAACCAGCTTCACATAAGTTGTGTTTGACATTGAATAATTGAATAACTATGTCCAGCTGAGGACAGACAAAGCTAGTATAAATCAGTCACCAAACCAAGTAAATTATTCCCATGGAGAGGATTCCTAGATGGCTTTGCTTTCACCGATAACCCTTGCAATTATATTATCGAGGTAAACCTAGGAAACATCAATGTACACAAGCAAAGGCAGAGGCAAGGCTATATCTTCTCAATACAACAGAAAGAAAGTCCAGGGCCTTAGCTTGGATATTCGAATATACGCTTGAATTGTTTCCAGAGATGCTTGCTTGGATTCACCACCAACCTCTACTCTACAATTTTCATTAAACCTTCTACTTCAAATTTTTAGACAGAATCATCAGTGGACTATCAATGGGAAGGAACTAGTTCTTGGAAGAGTTCTTGTCTTTTCTTTTCTTCTTTTCCCCTTCTAGTGTTTTCAATCTTATCATATTCCCTTCATTTTGCTGTACATGTTTCTTCTGTTTCTGATATAGTCAACGAGTTAAAACCTTGAACAGAATCCTGAACTAGAATTCATAGTACTAGAACTTGTAAAAGCTTTAAACTACTGATGCTTTCCTGGCAATAAATGGTTGGGTTGTTCACTGAGAGAAAATGCTTTGATTTCTATTGCAGCAATGGTGAGAACCAGCACTGTATGTGCAAAGCTTTTTCTTCAGCAGAAATACTGAAAAAGCATTTGTTACAAGTAAACTGATCATTAAATATTCCTGTATCTTCTACTTGGTTTATTCTTGGGGGGCATAAAATCACTGCAAAATAGTTTTGGAAACTTCAACCAATGTAATCATGGCAGCAGAAGCTGAGAGAGTGGTGGTGATCCTGGATGCATCAAGGGAACTAGGTCTAAGCACAATCAAGTGGGCCCTGCTAGGCTTATCACTTAAGCCTGGAGACAAGCTTATACTTCTTGGAATTCTTCACCAGGTTAATAATCCTAGTACGTTATCTTTCATGGGAGCTGGAAAACTCAGTAAGAATTCATGCGTCTTTGTTCTTGAAAAGGAGAAGGAAAAAACAATAGAAATGATAAAGAAACACTTGGATGAATCTCATTTGAATGCTTTTGCTAACCGCCCTTTTGTTCAGTTTCTTCTATACCCTTTTCCTTATCTTCCTTTTCTTTTTTTTTTTGTCTCAGTGGGGTATAGGATCAAGGTTGATCCTAGTTCCATGTTTAGAACAAACAGAAAGATCATTGCGGAAGAAATGGAAAGAAAGATAGAAGAGTACCAAAAGCATGCTGAGATAGTGAAAATATCCAAACAATGCCAAAAGGGGCAGGTCTGATAAAATTTTTTGCTGCCTGAATAACTATTTATTGCTTTTCTAGTCCTTGTTCTTGCTATCATTACCAGTTCTTGCATTTTCAGCATATGCAATTTGCTAAAGCATAATTACATATCTTTCCTTAAGAACATTGTTAGTTACTAATATAAAGAATATGAAGCTTTGTATGATTCTATCTGCCTAATAAATGTTAAGACATTAGAACTTGAAAATTCAAGACAGATTCATGCAGGAACAGCTATATGTCAGTTGAAGTTCTGAGAGATTTTGTTTTGATCCTGAGTAATTCTGTTTACATTTATATAAAACATACACATCTGCTCAAAATAATTGACTTCCTGGATAAAGGGTCTCTCGACTGCTCATAGGAGATCAGTTGATGAGTTGCGGTGCTTATAGCTTTATAAGGCTGAATGAAGACGATGATTCCCTTCCCTGAACTGAACTGCATAACTGGATTACAAATAGGCCATATATACGGATAATATAATTCAATAGCATGCTCACTATATTTTAGTGACAACACATCTAGTTCAAGTGTTTAATGTAGTATGGCTTGTTAATCAACTCACTGATGGTATCTTGACTTTTTTCAGATAGAATTCCAGATAGAGATACGAGCAGGTTCTCCTTTAAAGGCAGTTGCTTCAAAAGCTGCCAAAAGACTTCATGCAACATGGATAGTACTTGACAGGTAAGTCATGTGATTATTGCAAATAAACTGTGCATCAAACTCTTGAATTCATTCAGTGCCAGGTTATTAGGCTGAAAAATGGATCTTCTTTTAACTCATAAAATAAGTTAAAAATTCAAAAAACTCCATTTAAAACTCAATACATGCCCAAGTAACAGTAGATAGTAAAAGATTTTTATTGTATATTGCTTGCATCAAGTTAAAGGGAGGGAGAAAGGGTTTGGCCATGGTGCCCTGTATGCAAGAGTGATTTGATTCAAGTACAAATCATAAGAGATAACAGAGAGATTGCAAATCACACTGAAGGTTAAAATGAGTGGAGTTGTATGGATCAAACACTCAATTCAGAATGGTAAATTACAAGCTTGATGGCATAGTGAATTTCAGAGTTAGGAAACAGAGTGGTAATATTGCAGTTTGTTTCTCATGGAGGTTACAGTACCCAAGTCAGAAACAAATCCCTACTTGCGCAAAGTTCATTATGATAGGTTTGGTCTAAAGACATCACCTCCTCTTGTTGTAAGAGGTCTACTTCCTTTCAGCATTTATTGAAACTGAACTTTTTCTTTCACTTGTTTTCTGCTCATAATCATGAACCAACAAGAAGATACTGACCAGAGAAATGTTGTATACAGTGCAGAGAAAAGATGCCTACAACAAGCAGCTTCTAAACAGAATTACATGGATCTAAACAAAACAATATAGATTTAGGAGACAGATAAGCTCACACCACATTTTGTTACTAGCTGCTTCCAGTCCTCTAATTTCCCAAGGAGTATCTTCTTCTAAGGCTTCTGGACATTGATAACTAGATGTCATCCCTTCCATCAGTGGTGGATCAAACCATTTTAGGAGCACCTTAAAACTGAAACTGCCAAGTACTTCCATTTTAGAGAATTAATAGCCTATTTGAGCTCAGAATAGCAGCTCCCAACAGCCGTAGTGATCTATCATGTATGAATTTAGAGCTGTTCTCCAAATTTTCTAAGGGTAGCACAGCCGAAAGAAAAGAAAAAGATTTCTGCACCCTTTTATTCTGCAGAAAAGTAGAGGAAACAAAAATATTGAAAAGAAATAAGCAAATTCTTGATTGTGGAGTGCTAAGTCTGGCTTGCTTCAAATGGATGGTACTTTAAATTTCTCTTGTTTTGATCAGTTACTATTAGTTGACTTCTTGCTATATCTCTTTAACTGAAAATCTGGAAGGCTAGCAATGCTTCATAGTTCATATGAATTGAAGTTTTAATAACAGAGGTCATAGTAACTGTTTTCTTCATTTTGTTTCCTTTAACTGTATTCAAATTTAATTCGTTACTAAAGCCAATCCCCAACAATTATGGTAAGCTTAGATGGGAAAATAACTCCATTTTTATTTCATGAAAGATGTGCAAATTGAAGTTCAAAAACCAGGAAAAAGAATGAGGAAACAAATAAGCCACTAGGAAGTTTTCTTCCAATGATTTTTAACACTGTACACTGTTATCTTTGAGACAGGCACTTGAAGAACGATCAGAGATACTTTTTAGAGAACCTATCATGTAATATAGTGAGGATGAAGAAAGATAACAATGCTGAAGAGTTAAGAGGACCAAATGTTATGGATAACTATAAAGCACCTGCTACAAGGAAAAGCAACGTAACATATGCTGAAATGATTCCCACAACTAGCCCCAGCAAAGTACGGACTCCTCGAAGTAAGTTATTTGTCAATCATTAGCATAATGATATTTTTAACTCTTTTACTATGGTGGGAAGCAACTCTACAATTTTCTCCTTGCGAAGGTTTCTCTGGGATGATGCAATGTGCTAGAGTATGTTCATGTCAAGAAATCATCAAGAGTTCAAATACATTTTCATTTTGTTTCAGAATCTCAAAGGGTTGAGAACACCAGCTTAGTGAAAGAACAAGGAGGTGAAGGTAGTGGAGAGCATCCATGGCATTATAGTAGGAAATCCACCTCATATTCAGCTTCAACTTCAAGTCATGCAAGTAATAGAGCATCAACTTCAGGTTATAATGAGTCAAAGTCTGCTTCCTCACATCTTCATGATGAAGAATACACTACAACTACAGGACCAGAAACAGGAGGAGAGCACTCCCCGTTGTCCATCATTGAAAGTGGAGACCAGAAAGAGTTATATAGTCCAGAAGAAAATCAGAAGCAAAACTACCACAATGATGATTGGATGGGGAGAAATCCAGGGGATCAGGTATTCAAAAATTCCATTTGCTCAATTTGCCAGAATAGAAGACCAAAGATAGGGTGGATGAGAGACTTCACTTATGCAGAGCTCCAAGCTGCTACAGATGGGTTCCATGCAAGGAACTTCCTATCAGAAGGTGGATTTGGTTCTGTCTATAAGGGAGTGATAAATGGGATGAAGATTGCTGTAAAGCAACATAAATATAATGCAAGCCTCCAAGGAGAGAAAGAATTCAAGTCTGAAGTTCAAGTACTTCGGAAAGCTAGACATGAGAACCTGGTCATGCTTGTTGGGTCTTGCTCTGAAGGAAACCACAGGCTACTCGTCTATGAATTTGTCTGCAATGGTTCACTGGACCTTCATTTATCAAGTAAAGACTGATTCAGAAGAGCTTTCAGATTTACTTCTCTTTCACAATGAATTACCAAGATCTGATCTTGCATTTTCGGATTCAGCTGTAATCAATGTACATTATTTCTTGCTAAATTGATTGCAGAGCACACAAGAAGACCTCTTACTTGGGAGAAGAGAGTGAAGATAGCACTGGGAGCTGCTAGGGGCTTAAAATATTTGCACGACAACAATATCATCCACAGAGACATGAGACCAAACAACATCCTTGTAACACATGATTTTGAACCACTGGTAATAACCAAACTACATTCACGATTATATATGGTAACTATGGAAATGTTTCTAGATCTACCTGCCTATTTATCTATGACAGTGATGTTTATTTATTTAGGCTAGCCTTAACTCAGTCATGCATCTCATACTAATGGATTCTTGTTCAGATAAGGCTTTTGAGAACAATGTTTATTGTTTAAAATAGCAACTGTAAGTGTTGCAGCCTTGCAGCATAATTGAGATATTTTTAATCTAGTCAATACAATTAAGCATCCTGGTGAATGAATATTTACCTTGTCCTTGATGTATTGAGTCTTGGTAAAACCAGTTAGCATACAGATTACATAATTCACTAACTCCTATTCTGCAAGTACATTTTCTTACCTCAACTAATTGAAGTTACTAATCCATTCACCACATCAGCTAGGAGATTTTGGCTTGGCAAAAACTCAACAAGAAGACTCGGATCAGTCATCGGAGACTGTAACAAGAGTTGTTGGCACTCTAGGATACTTGGCACCAGAATATGCAGAATACGGCAAAGTGTCAACCAAGACAGATGTTTATTCCTTTGGGGTGGTCCTGTTAGAGCTGATCACTGGAATGAAGACGACAGACAAAAGACTTGGAGGGAAAAGTCTTGTTGGATGGGTGAAAGTCTCTATACTCAATACATTCTTAATTAGATCAAAACATATGCCCTAGATGGCATTCTTTGACTGTTATGAACTAAGGCCACCTTCTATATTGCTAAGTTGTGCAGTTCATTAAATAACCCAACCGGCTAAAGAGTACATCAAGAAGTTTTCTTAACCTTGTCAAATAATTATTTCAACTCCAATTGATTCTATGAAATTATGCTATATATCTTTTCAAGAGGAAAAATGAATAAATACATAGAGGTCTGGAAGTGAGAAAATTTATGCACTAGCAATAATTTGCAATAAGGTGTTACTTTGTTTGCAATTATGTAGTCATCCACCTCAAATGACATGCAGGTGAAAAGGAAAGAAGAAGAGTCTTCCACTGCTAAAGTTTACAATTCTTTTTAAAGACCAGGGTTCATTACATACAGTTCTATCTTCTTGCAGGCAAGACCACTACTGAAAGACCGGAACTACCCAGATTTGATTGACCCCAGGATTCTGGAGTCACATGATGTCCATCAACTCTTTTGGATGGTTCGAGTAGCTGAAAAGTGTCTCAGCAAGGATCCTCAGAAGAGATTATCAATGGATAAGGTAAGTTCTGAATAAGTCTTTAAACTCAACATTCAATGCTACAGTAATTCAGCAACATCCATCTCAAAATCTAAGTATTCACATGCTTGTAACACTTCAGCTATCAATATATCCCAAACCTTAACTTTTCCTTCATATGGGCTCCACTCATCCATCATTAGGACCTATGGTGCTGATATACTTAGTTTTCAGTCATCACATGAGGGCAGTCTTAAAGAAATCCAAACAATCAAATTAGTAAGAGTGGAGAAGGTGGTGTAGTCATGCCCCTAGGGGACTTGAACTAGAATAATCCCTGGTAAAATGCTCAAAAAACTTACTGTACCATCCTTTGAATCTATTCAGCATTGACTTGTTGTGAATACTATAAGATCATACAGACAAAATTAACAAGCTAAAAAAGTAGAGATCTTTTCTATAACTTGGCTGCAAAACTTTAAACACCTAAAACACTTACATTAGAAAATAAGTTCACTGTACAATTGCCCTCCTGAGGAGTTTTGATATGTTCATGTAAAACTCCCAAACAGCCAGAGCACAGATAGCACTGCCAGATCAATCTTTACCAGCCTCTTTGGACATAAATCTCAATAGCTAAAACCATATGAACATTTGGGGTTATCTTTGTTAATTAAAAATGCTCAATCTTTATGATTAAGCGGTACTATTGCAGGTGGTTTATGCCTTAAACTACATAATGGACTGTGACAACGTATGTGGCTTCAGAGACTTCTCACCTGCACAATCAGATACAGTGAGCAGAAACTCTTGTGAGTCACAGTCACCATCTCCCTGTGATGATGATTCAAGCTTTACAATAGAAATTACCAGCATGAGTCATTTTAGTGGAAGACTTGCACCATCACCTTCCATTTCAAGAAAATCAGCATCAGGCAGTGGGAGTAGTCATGAAAGATATTTCTAATGAGGCGAATTTTTTTTCTTTTTACCATGACCAAATCTGGATGGTTAATGCTTGGTAATTATCATTTTGTCCGTCCGTTTCTCTCGGAAAGGATTTCTGGGGGAATTCTTTGAAGGGAGTTGTAAGTTCCATAAACATGCTGCATGCATTGAAAATTCTTCCTGTTCTGTAAAATGTTTCAACATCTACATGATGCATGAATAATCAGTCTCAATTAATAGGACTATTTGTTACGATCCAACAACAAAAAATGAAGCATGAAACATGGAATAAAATCAAAGATCCATGTTAAAAAGCAAATTAATCACACTCAATGGATATTCAATCACCTTCAGGTCTAGGTTTTAAGCAAGGTAACATGATTATTACAAAGCTGCATCACCTTGGTTGCAGAAGAACAATTCTTCATCCAATTAGCATTCCACCCTACCAAGTACTAACAAGCAAACTGCTCATAGCATCCACATCAGATCAAATATCTCTAGTCTTTCATCCATAATAAGTGTCCACATAATCTCATCATACTAAGAGCATATTGTTCTAATCATGTTCCTTCAAACTAAGTCAATCATAGCCTTTGGAGATTTTGCTAAAACAGTATCGGTAAAATGAGTAGAAAAGTAATTTCCCAGGAAAGGGGCTACCTGGAGTATGACAGTGAGATGGATGTAGACACAATGCTATGCATACTCCTCAGTTTCTTTCCTATCCATTGCTCACACAGGGAATTGTTTTGTGTCTAATAGGAATAAGTAGAAACTATTGGACATTTTTAATATGAAAAGAAAAAGTAGTTTAAACAATTATTTCGATTGCAGATGGTTCTTCTTGAAGTAAAACGGGACGCATTAGAGGTAGTGCACAGCATGATTGGTGCAGTACTTTAAGCGTAAGTGCTTTTGTGATAGACAGTGAGGAATAATAAATCATCGGCAAAGGGGATGGAAAGAGTTCAATGGAGAAAATATTTGAAAAGAACAAGTAATGTTATCAATTTATGATGTCTCCGAAATTGTCACACTCTCAAAACATCATTCACTTGATAACTTTGCGCATTCCAGCTTGATAATATCATCTGTGAGGATTGTGCTGCATGTTATCTGTAATGCACCTAATTAAAAATACATTATGACTTTTGTTTTGAAACAAATGTAAGTTTGTAATGCAATCTCATTATAACGAATGTATGTAATGTGATTGTGCAGAGAGATGAATACAATTTCATATTGCAATTTACTTTGCAATGTATTCTATCTTGATTTGATATTTTTATCTTTTTTTATTTGTATCTTTCTTGATTTGATTTTTTCAAATATTGTCAAATAGAGAGTGAAAGTTTTTCAGGATGGATCAATATAATAATTTTTTGTTAAATTTAAATATATTAGTAATAAATATAATCAAGTATAATCTACAATTCATATGAGAAAATAGACAAATCAATCAATAAAATTTCTAAACTTAATTTTTATTACTTACAAAAAAATTAAATTAGAAATAATTTAAAAATTTTGAAAAAAAATCTATAAAATTTCAAAAAATAAAAATATTTTTTTATTCTTAGAAATTCTAAAAAACTTAAAAACCCAAAAATAATATTTAATTTTTCATAAAAAATTCTTAACAATAAAAACAGAAATAACTTTTTTTAAGAAATTATAAATGATTTGAAAATCCATAAAATTAAAAATCTATTTAGCACTTTTGAAAAAATAGAAGATATTTTTTTTATGCTCATAATTTTTAAAGTTATAAAAATTATTTCCTCTCTGTAATTTTTAATAATATTTTAAAAGTAAAAAATATTTATTTTTTACTTTCAGATTTCTTTTCGAAATAAATCTTTTTTTGGCTTTTTTTAGTTTTTTATTTTTCTCAAAAAATAATTATTTCCATTTTTAATTTTTTAAAAAGTTTTTAAAAATAATAAAAAAAAATATTTTTTAAAATTTTCAAAATTGCAAACAAATACAAAATTATTTTCTAATTAATATTAACATGAATTTGCCCGATGTTTGGTTATTTGTTGCAAAGTTTATTTAAGAGATACTGTCATATAAAAATTTATAGTAAAAAAACATACAAGTATATTATGCTTACATTTTAATACATAGACATAATTCTAGAAATTAATATTATATTTCCAGTAGATCACATATAAATCAAGCACTGCAATATTATTTTTTCAACATTTTAATCACATATTCTTTAATGTACCAAAAGCTGCAATGTTATCTTACCCGCAATCACATTGCAGAAACGAGATTGTATTATAAGACAGTAAATACAACCTTAACGTGTATATAAATCATGAAAATTTTATTATATGGTGCTACTAAATTGGATAGTGAAAACAAAATTGGATGTTTAGATTTATGGATTACTTGCTTGCCCAGTAAATTGGGGGTTGAACTCTAAGACTAAGATAGTAGAAAGAAAGAAAATAGGATGTTTAGATTGATGGATTACTTGTTGGACTGGCTAGTTTGGATTGAAATGCCTTATCTAGCAGAGTATGTACTTGACTATATTATTCTAGAATTGTTGGACCATGGTGTTGTTCTACATAAAAACCAGTACATCTTTTGTTGTCTAATAATAATAATAATAATAATAATTCAAGAGAAAATTAATGAGAGGCAAATAAATATTGAGATAAACAATAATATTTATTTGTAAAAAAAAAATAAAAGTGTTAGAATCCTATTAAAAAAGTAATTCATGTGAAGTTATAAATTGGAGAGAATTACTTTTAGAGCGAGTCGACTCCAAGGGCAGAAGTTTGTTCTCAAGCTGAGGAACAAGGCATCTCAAACTCCAAGGGTGGAGAAGAATCATGTGATTACATATATGATTATGAACCAAGCAATGAGTCAGGAGAGACACTTCCAAGAAATGATAATACCAGCTGGGGATGGGGAAGAGAAGTGGGAGGTAATGATAGAAATGACTGATTTTCTTCCTTCACTACTGAGTTGATCCTAACATTGCTTTTGGGACAGTTCTAGGTAACTTTGAGTTCAAGTTTTGAGCCAAAAACTTTCATGGTATTCCAATCTTGTCGCGCCACTTAGAGCTTTTAGAGCGTATGTACGACGTGGAAGGTCAATTTTGGTCTGTCCGTACCAAAAACATGAATGCGGCGGCAGTTATGGCTACCATGGGCAATGCCTTAGAGATCGCTTCTTCCTCATGGGCAGACATTTCTTCAGAGCAACTGAAGGAGATGGTGAACTGCATGGAAAATATCCTCCGAGCTGGTTGCAAAATTAAATGTCAAAACACTTGCATAGCCAAGGCCAAATCGCTTATGGAATTAATAAGAGATCAAATCACAGATTGCTTCTCTGAAGAGTCGTAAGAAGGAATTGCGAAGAAGATTAGATAGCTTCTCCACCCCTTTAAACTTGATATTCAATTAGCTTTTACTCCTTTATAGACTTGCTTTCCATACTAGATGTTTACATGGGAAAAGGTTGGAATATTCACATGGGATGCTCTGCCCTAGTATCATGTACAAGGCAACCTGGTACAATTCTTTACACTTTCTTGGTTTCTCTATTTATACTTAAATATCTACCATTTCTATCTGAATCAAAGACAATGGGATTGTCTTATCAAACAGAGAGAGAATAGCCTGAATTCCTGAACAAAACTTTGTATGTAATTAAAATCATGGATCATGCTCCTTCAACATATCTCACATCATCAACCTCAATCTCATACTTAGTTGCAATTTAACCATCATCCACCGCTAGCTTAACTCAATTCAGAAACATTAAACTAAATCAAACCGCTACCGCTAACAGAACAAACATTCTTATAACACCTAACCTATTCACTTCGGTGCATCCCTAACCTCAGATCTCCTCCTTCTAAACCTACATCATCAAAGTATTGTATCGAAACAACCCTGTATCTTGAAATGAGATATTACAACCTTCGTACTAAAAGCGGAATGCAAACAAATAAACCTTCAAGTACACACACACCAACATATGCCCCAAAAGCTTTCCTCAAACAAAGGGTTAAGATAAAACAGTAAAATCCTATGTTTATGACACTGATCTTAACCTGATTATAGATTGGGCAGGCAAAAAAATAAACCAAAATTCAGTTGTATGAATGTAGACAGAGAAACTAATGTTTTCGAGATCTGGCTAAAAGTGTGTTTCGTGCGACAGCCGTATCATTTGACTGCACTACCAGAAATCAGCATCATGCAAGACACATGCATCTAATAGAAAAATCATGGACCAGAATTCCATGCTAAAAGTGCATAGTTATTCTAAAATTATAACAACAGCTTGAATGCAATTGCATACCTCATAGTTCCATTTTGGCATACACACATTCAACAGTTCAACAAGAAAAACATCAAAAAACAACATACCGAAACATCCTTGACTCATACCATATTATAGTCTCATCCCAAGTGAACTGTGGTACATCAGGTTTGCTTGACTACCCACATCAAACAAAACAAGGAATGAATGAAACAAAAAAAAAGCTTCAGACAAGTTCATACAATTGAGACAGCAGATCTCAAGGGAGTTCAGATATTTGACAAACAGCAGGCATGTTATTCCACGCACAAGAACCAAGGCCCCATGCTTGACTTGATATAGATGTTCCAGCTGCCATGTTCTTATACTCGCTACTCAAATCATCACCAAGAAGGGTTGCCATTGCATCACTCATGATTGTTTGGTCCTTACCATAAACACAACCCTGCTCAAGCCAATTTGAAGCAAGTAAAGTATCAGGGCACGTACTGTCCAGCCGAATAGGAGCCTCCTTTTGTATCTCTAGGGTCAAAACATGGTCAGCTGTTTCTGATTTCACATAGGACTCTGAAAAACAATCCAAATCCAACTTATGAAACTCCAGAAAAACAAGTGAAAAATTTGAGCATGTCTGATTCTTGCTCAAGTATACTTGGAATATTAGTTCAAGGACTATATCATAAAATATCGGGAGAAAATAAAATTAATTTGATGACAGGAAAGATGGTGCAAAATAAAACATAAATAAAAATAAAATGTGTTCAGTATGTTATTGTAGCAAGAATTCTACAAATGACTCAATAACTGAGGTAAGCAATCAGAAGGCTTATGTATATTTTAAGTCAATTGTAAATAATTTAAACATCACTTGAATCTAAGGGGATCTAAGTTAGCCTAGACACTTGACGAGAAAGATCAAATTTTAATAATGTGGCAGATAGTTTTCATTTCTAGTTAATGCTGGAAAAGTATAAATCATGTCTCAGCCTTAACAAGTCCAGGTCAGAGATGCTCACCGGTCAAGGTTTCAGCAGGTGGCTGTTCATCCAATGAACTGCCACTTGCACTGATACACTCACTGAAAAGAGAAGTTGCTGAATGACCCATTGGAGAAAGAGGTTCACCACAGTTTTCCCATTCTGTCTCACAAATGTTGAAATTGGAACTTTCAGCTATATCACCAGGAGTTGATGAATTTGAACTCTTGTCAGATGCATGATTCTTTGCACTGCTTAGAGTTTTTGCCTCATGGAGTAAAGCATCCAGCAGGCCACTATTACGAGGTGAAAGACTATCTGACTCCACTCCGCTGGTTGGGGGTGGTGACTGGATAAAAGCATCAACAGACTCAAGTAAAGGTGGTGGGCAAGATATTGTGCCCCAGTTACCTAATTCAGTTTCTGGATATTGGAGTGAAGGGAGCTCCAACTTCGCAGCCTCTAAAGAGGACTCCGAAGCCGAGAAATTGCCATTTGTAAGGGCATGGCTACCAGGGAATACACCAAAGGACTGGGAGTTTTTGGCTGTAGGGTCTGGTTCAATTGGAAAGGACACCCCAAAGGATTGAGCAGCCTTGTCTGACATATCATCTTGAAACTGGTCAAACAAAGGGCACTCATTTTTAACAGTACCAGTGTAACCCGGGAAAAATGCTGTAGATTCTCGAAGACGCTTTTGGCGATGGATTGTTGGTGGCATGAAACTACAATATTGAGAAGAACCTAGACCTTTCATCAGCATGCTGCTAGTGGATATATCAGGAAGTTCAGGGACATAAGGCAGGACACTCTGATTGGCCTTTAAACTGTCAAATATGACATCAGGCATCTCATAGCTGTTGTTCTGCATGATATCATGAGGTCCTTTATCTCCTCCATTAAGTGCACTGGTACTGTGGCTCTCCTGCAGTGCTTGTAAGCACACTTCAGGAGGATACAGAGGCAACCCAGCACGTTGACGTCTCTTAATCCGGGTATTCCAATAATTTTTTATCTCATTATCTGTACGTCCAGGCAACTGCAAAGAACAACAGAGCATAATTAATCTCAGAAAAACTTACTTTAGACACCAAAAGGACAAATGTATAAAATCCTGTGACTGAAAGTTTTATCAAGGTTTGCACAAATGTTTAGCATTTCCAAGATTGGAATAGCTGTCATAGGATTATGGAAGACATATGAATTGCTACTGTTCCGCATCTACTACAAAAATTTACAATATTGAGATAAATATGCTGTAATGCGGTTCAGTATCCTTTCAAAGGCATGACCTAGATTTTGCATTTTATTCTTCTTACTACTTTTCCTCTTGGCTTTGGGAATTAGTTGAGATGAGAAAGGAAGAAGGGGAAGAAGGGGACAGTATTTTAAGGAGCTGGACTTCTACAATCATGGGAGATGACCACTTCAACCAGGCCAAAAACAACATCGCAATTATGTAATAAAGGCTGCTTATGACTCTTAAAAATTGTTACTCCTCAAAACACCCAAAATTACTGTCTCAATTTGGATCTTCCTGAAACTGAGGATACCAAATCAGAGCACTTAAGCATTCCACACCAGGCACGTATGTAAATCATAGAACTTTGCTTAATTCATTGGTTATGAAATAGGTACTACAAGGGGAGTTCAGATATAATGAAACGGCCAAGTTTATGAGGATTCTTCATAATATCGCATGTCACTTCCTGCAAACTTATCATAAAATAGAAGTGTTCAATTATAATACTAAAGAACTTTGCATCCAGAGGGGCCAGGGTGCAATCCCACAGCATTCAATCATGAGGATCAAGCACTAGATAAATGGTAAATGAAGGACAGGCTTACATGTGCAGCCATCCGAGCCCATTTATTTCCCATCTTTGCATGGAGTTCAATGATCAGCTGTTCTTCTTCTTGAGTAAATGCCCCTTTCTTCAAGTTTGGCCTCAAGTGATTTGCCCATCTCAAGCGGCAACTTTTGCCACAACGAAACAGTCCAGAGTGCTTCTGGACAGCATTCCAGTTGCCTTCCCCATGCTTCTTCACATACTCAATCAAAATTGCATCTTCAGCAGACGTCCATGGTCCTTTCTTCAGAACAACTCCCCCACCTGCACCTCCACAGTTACCATCATCAGCCAATGGCGATTCTGCCGGATCCTTAGAGAGCATTCCATCTTCCCTCTCATTTTTTGTGTGACTCATCTCTTTGTAATCACACACAAACCCCTTACCAACAGGTTAGAACCATCCAAAACCTGAAACCAGAGAAAAGATAGAAGACACGCAAACTTGAAATATAAAGAAACAAAAAAAAAGGCAGCGCCTTTTCCTCACTTTCTCATACTTGCACTCCAACTCTTATAGATACATTATTTTTTTCTAATACACACTCTTTATGCATCACGACGAACTACAAGTGGATCATCGACAACACTCCTTTATTCCAATGTTAAATAAGAATTGCGAAAGCATGCATAAACATGTTAAATCTATAAAGGAAACAAAAGCTGTTGGGATAATATAGGCGCTACTCTCTACAGAACAAATTTGGAAACGACAGAAAAAGTCATCAAATACAGAAAGAGTAAAAACAGTTAATAGAAAACAAAATTATCCACAGAATCAAAATTCCAGCTAACATACAGATAAACCGGGTATCCAAATCCGATTCTATTCCAAAAAGGGCAAAATCATTCCATCTTTGAACGTTAAATTAAACCCTTTCGCCCAATTTGGAAGGTAGATGACATGTAATTTTCAAAAATTAAAATAAACCCGTTTCCAGAATTGTTGAAATAAATAAATTCAGATAAAAACTAAATTCCAAACTGCATTTATTGCACTATAGCCCCTCATAAGTTACTCCAATAATCTATCATTAATAAATTACAAGCTACAATAATTGCACTACCAACACCTATATTAAAAAAAAAAAAACAACCAAATTCACATGAAAACAATCCAAATCTACCCATTTCTCTAAAGAAACACACAAAACAAGGACATTAAAAACAAGAAATAGCAGAATTAAATTACCTGCCTTTGGAAGATGCAAAATTTGGTGAGAAAATCGCCAAAAGTAAAAACTAAAAAAAAAAAATCCTCGAACGAGCTTAATGATGGCTCCTGATTGAAGTGGCAGCTGAGACAAAAGCGAAAATGAAAAACCTGAAATACAACAAACAAAAAAAAATTATATAATTACAATCATAAATAAAAAATTCCTTGATCTACAACCAATCATAACAATAAAGAGAAAACCCTAGATCATATATATTTGTTTTTCCTAACCGTAATTTCTGTGCTAGCAGACAAAGAACCCGAGAATAGAAAGAGCAAAACATCGAGATCTAACAAATCAAGCGATTACATAAAGGAAAAGCCCTTTTTCTTTTCTTTTCTTTTCTTTTTTTTTTTTTTGGTATTTTGGGTTTTGTGTGTTTGGGGAGAGAGAAAATAGAAAAGGAAAAAAAAAGAAGGAAAAAAAATTGAAAAAGGCGAGGAAATGAGCGAGAAAGGAAGCTAAAGCCTGAGAGAGAAAAAGAAATGTCAAAAGGAGAGGAAATGAAGGAGTGAAAGGTGGACAGAGAGAGACAGAGGCTACCTGTTTTTATATTTTTTATTAAGCTTAATCAACTATTTAATTACAATTACTTCTCTTAATTAACCTCTTTATAAATATGTAAAAATAATAAATTTATTGAATTCTCAAATTTACCCTTTCCTATTATCAATTTTTACTAGCAGTGCCAACAATCTCAGACCGTATAAGCATGACTTTCATGCTCACAAACTTCTCGATGCATCATTATAGTAATATAAAATAACCCAAAAATAAATAAAAACAATTATTCAAGTTTAAATATAATTGATAATTTTTTTAAAATTTTCAAAAGAAAGAAACTTTTTAAACCAAAAACAATAAATTTGTACAAATATCTAAATCGATCAGTTCAATATATTTATTATGATCGATTGTAAAAGACACAATCAGAATAATTATAATTTTTAATGTAAATGAAAAAAAACAACATCTAAGATAGCTTCCAAAAGTATATTAGTTATTATTGCGATCGATTTAGTTCTTCTTTAACAATCTCGTAATCACATTAAAAAATAAAAAGTAAATTACGATCGTTTTTATAAACCCATCTTTCAAAAAATTCTATATTACTTATTATATCAAATCTTAACCGACTTTTCATAATTAGATACATAAATTTTACAATAAATCTCTTGCTTTTTTCATACGCAATGCCTTTACATGTTAGCATGATGATGCAAACAAATTTCATATACTTTAATTGAGCTAATTTGAATTTTATTTGGGTTTAACGCTTTTTGAAAATTTGAAAGGATACATGAATTTTCGTAAATTCAAAAAATTTGATATTTTAATAATTTTTTTGGAAAAATAAAAAACATAGAAGCAATCTTGGCACCATAATGAATTGCCATATTGTTTGATGGACACCAAAGTACAAAAGCATAAAAAGGTAAAATTGGAACTTCACTCTCCCCTTGTTCTTACTTGTCATATGCAAATTTTCAATCCTTTTTTTGAAAACGTTCTTTGTCATAATTAATAAATTTAATTAATTAATCTTGCCAAATTGTTTGATGTACACCAAAGTACATAAGCATAAAAAGGTAAAATTGGAACTTCACTCTCTCTTTGTTCTTACTTGCCATATGTCAATTTTCAATTTTTTTTTTTGGAAACTTTCTCTTTCATAATTAATAAATTTAATCAATTAATCTTGTCAGATTGTTTGATGGACACCAAAGTACATAAGCATAAAAAGGCAAAATTGGAACTTCACTCTATCTTTGTTCTTAACTTGTCATATGTCAATTTTCAAATTTTTTTTGAGAACTTTCTCTTTCATAATTAATAAATTTAATTAATTAATTTTAAAAAGTGAAAATGGGGCCAGTTGGAATGCTACTTGATTGGTGTGTGTGTTATACGTGTTATTTTTTCCTTCATTTTGGGCATACATTGCATCCACGACATGTGAGATGCGATGTAACATACATGCACATAATCATGACACATGGTTTCCTCTCCTCTATTATGTGAAGAAAATTTATTACAATTATTTATTAATTATTATAAAATAAAAATAGAAACAAGATAAAAATAGAGATATTGAGAAAATGCTTTTTATGTATTACTAAATTACTATTTGAAATAAAAAATAACTGTGATACAAATGAAGGTGAGGTGACCCCTATTTATAGTTGAAGTTCTTAACAAATCAATGGCTGTGACAATCTCCTATTGATATATATTTCTAAATTACATTATACTTTTGATAAATCTCACATTATTATCTAGATAATTTTCATACGTAGATGAATCTTAAAATATCTAGAATATAGATAATACATTTATCATTTATCAAATTTACTCTAATTTGAATTTGTTTAATGTGGTGTGATATATTCATACTCCATAACACTCTCCTTTAGACGGAATAGCACTATGGTGGCCTAATTGGATGTGCTATTACTACCTTATTAAAAACCTAAAGCCAAAAACCCAGTGGGACAAAAATCGAACAAAAGGGAAAAAGAGTACACTACACTAAGTCCATAATTGGTCCCCTTCAATTTAGCCATTTCGCCACTTCTAGGGTCTACCGCTTCTAAGGCTTACCACTTTTGGGTCATTGATACTTTGCCACTCTAAGGGCAAATCAACCCGTCATTGCATTCCAATGTCATATACTAATTTTTCAAATGTTGACGTTGGCAATGACTAGGTAAAAAGATCTGTAACATTATTGGTGGAGCGAATTTGTTTAACACTAACTTGTCAACTTTTCTATAGTTCGTGAGTATAGAAAAATTTCAACGAGATATGCTTGGTCCTATCACCTTTAATATATCCTCCACTAACTTGTGTAACACAAGCAATATTATCTTCATAAATTATGATGGGAGAATTTTTAATCGATGTTAAATAACAAGAATTATGAACATGCATTATAACAAATCTCAACCAAACATACTCTCTTCCAACTTCATATAGAGCGATAATTTCGGAGTGGTTAGAGGATGTAGCTACTAGTGTTTGCTTAGTAAAGCACCAAAAAATGACAATGCCGTTATAGCAAAACAAATAGCCAGTATGAGAGCAAGCCTTATATAGATCAGATTTATATCTCGCATCAACATACCTAGCTAAACTAGAGTTAATGGAATCTTTGAAATAATATAATCCCGAATCTATGGTTCCTCAAAGATAACGGAAGATATGGTGTATCCCATTTTATGTCTATAAATTGGCTTAGAACTAAAACGTACCAACAAATTTATCATAAAAGTGATATCTGGTTTCATACATTGTGCCAAGTACATCAAAGCCCCAATTACATTGATATATAGTACTTTAGAACCAAATATCTCACATCAAGCTTTCTAAGACGAAATGGGTCTTTTTTAGGGATCAAGAAACCTCACAACCATAAGGATGCTCAATGGGTGAGCCTTGTCTATGTTAAAACATCTAAACAATTTCTCAATTTATGCTAACTGATGGACAAATATTCCATTTTCTTTTTGTTTGAGCTTTAAACCGAGACAAAGTTTGGTTTTACTTAAATCTTTAACTTCAAACTGCTTTTTCAAATATTTGGCAATTTTAGATAATTCTTCTGTAGTTCCAATCAAATTCATATCATCGACATAAATTACTACCGTAGCAAATTCGATTTTCGATTTCTTAATAAACATGCATGAGTAGATAGGATCATTCTTGTACCCATCCTTAATTAGGACTCGCTTAAGCGTTGATACTACATACAACTAGATTGCTTTAACCCATATAAAGATCTTTGCAACTTTATTAAGAATAAATTATGGGAAATGTATACTTCAGACATTTTGAATCCCTTCGAAATTTTCATATAAATATCAGAGTCTAATGAACCATATAAATATGCCATCACTACATCAATAAGATACATTTACAATTTTGCAGAAACAGCTAAGCTAATAAGGAAAAGAAAGGTAATTGTATCCATCACAAGTGAATTCGTCTAATCATAATCAATCCCAAGTCTTTGAGAGAAACCTTAGGCTACAAGTTTAGCTTTACACTTCACGTCCTCGTTTTTCTCATTTCGTTTATGGACAAAGACCTACTTGTATCCAACAAGCTTTACATTGTCAGGGGTTTAAGTTACAAGTCCAAAAACATCTTCTTTTGCTAAAAAAGCTAATCCAGCCTAGATTTCTTTCTCTCACTTGCATCAAACATACCTTTGGTGACATTCGATAATAAATCATAGTTCATAATCATCATTCATAATCTCATGACCATATCATCGATGATTATCTCATTCCAATCCTAAACCTCATTACAATATGTAATAAAAATCTCAATCTTCCCAAGGTTAGTGATCTTTTCATGTGTTCACCCCTCTTCGAAGGCAAGAGGCTCTTTTGAAGCAAGCTCAATACTAGGCTCTTTTGGAGTAGATTCCTAATTTCTCCCTTTTTGATTTTAAGAGGCAGTGCCTTTTGATCTTATCAATCTTCCATGCTTTAGGCGCAAGCCATTTTAATCAATTTCAACATGTCCTACAAAAACAACAATCCTAGCTGGAGCATTCACAACTGAAATATGGACTTCATGACCTTGGCAGTGTTATTAAATGCGTCAAAAAGTCTATTGGTAATAGCTTGTAAATGGATTATATAATGCAGCTTGTTTTCATATTTGGGAATTCTTTGGTCTAAATAGGATAGATTTTTCTCATTTTAGCACAAATTCTCAACTGGATTCTACTTCTTAACCATAGAAGCCTTAGATATCCCAATTAATGGAAACATTGTCTCATCGAAATGACAATTCGTAAATCTGGTGGTAAAAATATCACCCGTCATTGGTTCCAAGAGCCTAATAACGGACGGTGAATCAAACCCAATGTAAATGTCCAAATGGTATTGGGGACCTATTTTAGTCTTTTTTGACGATGCTATAAGCATTTGTACAGCTCAACCAAAGGTGCGTAAATGTAAAATGTTTGGTTCATAGCCTAGAACCAACTACATGGGAGATTGTAGAAGGCTAGTAGTGGGGTGCAATCTAATCAGTGTTTTTGCGCGCAAAACAATATGACCCCATGTTGAATAGTTAAGCTTTGTCCTCAATGAAAGAGTACGAGCGATAATTTGGATGTGTTTAATCAAAAAATTTGTTAGTCCATTTTGAGTATGAATATATGGAACCTAGTGTTCAACCTCATTTCCTAATGAAGCAGAACACATATAAAGGCTTTTTGATCTAAATTCACCAGCACTATCCATCCTTATTCTTTTAATTGGATACTCAAGGAAGTGTGCCCAAAGCTTTATAATATGTGCAAGTAAACGTCCAAAGGTCATGTTACGAGTAGATAACAAGCAAACATGGGACCATTTGCAAGATACGTTTACTAATACCATAAAATATCAAAACGGCCCACTTGTCAGTTATATTAGTCCACAAATATCACCTTCATTTCTTTACAAGAATGAAGGGGATTCAAGATCAACCTTTGTCATA